GTATATTAAAAATGCTAGTACAGTACCTAATTTCTGGACTCTTGATTCGCTTTGGACTCGGCCTTCTCAACTTGGATGCCACACCGTTTGTATTAACGTTATGGACATTGGAAATGCTCATTTGACAAATGGAGTCATGTTCCGAAGAACAGTCACTGGTAGTAGCATCAAAGTCGGGATCATCCACAGCAACGGCGTTTTGTTGTTGTTCAGGGTGCACCTTCACACTATCATCAGCTGAAAGTTTGTCATATAACATCTCCGGTGGCTGTTTTTTAGTAGGCTCATCCAATCTTCCTAACGAATAACCCCTACTGATACCAGTTTTCTTATTAACCATAACCTTGCCGACCCATTCCCCAGTAACTGCATCTCTCTCGTATTCATTTGAGCCAGGACTAGAACTAGGTTGACATGGGAGTGTGTTCATCTGAGAGTCATGAGCATCTAAGCTTTGCTTTCCCCCAGTTGCGGTAGAGTTCTTCCTACCCTGTATAATATAGCACTTCTGAGTTTCCAGCCTACGATTTAAGTTTTCTATATGAAACTATTCCCAATATATGGGAAGTAAACAAGAACAACAAACTCTATGTACTATTCCCAGTATAATCTCAACTACGTTTGTAGCTGGGTTCTTGGGATTAAAAACAGCGAGACTGTTTCCATCTAGCCCTTGATGCATTTTTTCATTTACTACCCAAAACTTCATAGAAAGTAAGAAGCAAGAGAAGTTTAATGTGCCATTTTGCTTTAGTTCATTAATAGACTGAAACTAAAACGTTATCAAAAACAACTTTTGGATCTATTGACAGTGGAGGCTACATACTGAAAAGGGGTGTCAAATTTTAAAAAAGAGAAAGTTTTGCAGAAGGGAAGGATGAAAAGCCTGCTGCTGAACTATTAATTTACAAATAACGAGAGAGTTCAACGAAACATCAAAATATTGATGTTTTGATAAATGTTTGTACTCTGGATATAGAGTATAATGCTTATACTTTGTATATAGGGTACCAAATTCCCATCCATAATGAGAATGCTTGGAATACTATGACAACTCAAAATTAGGGTGCCTGTTTCCAAGAGGGTGTGTGTACGCGGACCTTAACCCTACTCAAAAGTAGGGCGGCTGTTTCCAAGAGACCCCCAGCTCAAGTAACACATGCAGCAAGTTGAGCCCCTTAAACACATAAAGCATATAGCACGGAAAAGGAGTAGCAAAGTGCAAAAGCAGACTAAGGTGTACGAACTATGAAAGGGAAAAGCAACAAGCAGACACACCAAACAGAGAAAGCACATAACAACAAGTTCGAAAACAACTACCAAGCCCAAAAGCCTACCCAACTACCCTAGCTCTCGCTCTCTAGCCGCTCCAATCTAAGGTCATATCCTCAGTGAGGGCCAGAAGCCTTAGGTCTTGAATAAACACTTCCTTCCAATTTTTCCTAGGTCTACCGCTTCCCATGCTCCTGCCCACCACCGTAAGCATAAAAAACCAAGTGACATGGGAAAAGACTCTTTACCGATCCATTGTCACCAACATCCTCCATAAGTTGCCCTTGCTCATAGATTTGCACGTCTCCAAAACTTTGCAAGCTAGAACAAGAAGTTGAAGATCCACAGGATGTCATTTTCCTTTCTGGGCTACTTGACCTTGAATTTACCCCCTCCTTCTTTGCCAAAGCTGCCTTTAGACTAGCAACCTGTGCACATAGCCATGAAGATAATATTGGGCCTTTATTTCAATGAAAAATAGGTTACATTTTGCCACTAAAACATGCCTCTAATCAAAGGTTCATGTGTGCAAGTGTTCTCTCTCAGTCTTAGAACCATCTGCGTAACCATTATGGTAAATATTAAAGTAGCAACTAGCAACGAACCTGTTCTTTGAGTTCTTTGACCTCAGAACTATCTTTGTTTGCGCGTGCTGCACCAAGCTCAACAGCAGACACACGCTCAGCAAATTTAAGAGTGCTAAGTGTCTCTCCAATGGCATCTTCCTCAGGACTAATGTGAACAAACATCAATGTCTTGGCTTGCCCCCCTAATAATATGAAGTTGAAGTCTCAACATCACAAATCTACAACGTGGGAATGAATATTTAAACATTTCATTAAATAACTATGGATGCCCATATCTTACCGAGAGAATCTTGAAGAAGTTGGGTAAGCTTACTATTCCTGTAGGGAACGTGTGAACTCTTATGACCAAGGGCATATATCACATCTCCTAAAGCAGAGAGAGACTTGTTGATATGCTGAGCCTCCTTCAATCTGTCACCAACTGCTTCAGTTTTATCGGCTCTTTCACTTCCTGCCAGGTCAACCAGATGCAAACAACCACGAAGTATTGTTCCAGATGTCAGGCCTCTTCCCTGGACGTGAACTGTGAGGCAACTGGAGAATGTAATCACCCCAAATGAATTTGTGATTGCTCAATGAGTAGAAGACTTTGTATTTAACTATCAATTGATTCATCCAAACCCTAGTAAAGGATTGAAAGTAAGAAAATATAAACACCTGTGGGAACGACTACTACGAGTGTTCATGGCTGTTGCACCCACTGCACGATTCTTCTGCCCAAGGTTCATCAACTTAAGGACCTCTGATGTTGATTTGACTGGTACAATATTTGCATCAGGTACATTTAAACCCTTCTGGGAGTTGTTACGAATTTCTAATGTATTTAGAAGTCAAGAAAAATTATGCGGCAATGACAAAAAAAGAATTGATGAAAAAGTAGGCCCATAGAAAGGATATTTTTTTATGAGGCCATCCGTTGCAAGGAGATCTCTAACTTGTTCATTGTAAATTTCAATCATCTGAACTGAGACTTCATAAGCCATTGTGTTTTTTCTTTGCTCTGAGATGATAAATAGATCACCTAATGCCCTGCAATTGACACCTTCAGTTTCCGTTGTGAGCTCATCAGGTCCAGACTGTACATGTAAGAAAAATAACTATTAACTCAATTACTCAAACAAGAATGTCTGTCATACAGTAGCACCTCCATCATGTGTAAAATATCTTACCATAGTGTAGGTCTTTCCTGATCCTGTTTGACCATAAGCGAATATACAAACATTGTATCCATCAAGGACAGATCGAATAAGAGGTTGTGTGTCTGTAAATACTTCTTCTGCAGAGTTCAATAGAAAGGAAATAAAACAATTAAAGAACAACTGTATCTATGAGAGGGAAAAGTGCAAATTGGGACAGTAGCTACCTTGGGTTGCAGATGGACCAAAACAGCGGTTAAAAGTGAACATTTTCTTTCCCTCCTTTCCATATTTTGAAGGAGTGATTATTGTAATGCTTCCCTCTTCCACATGCTCAATAGTGCTAAGACGATTTGGTTGCCCAGGCAAGAACGGCCGCACCCGGCAATACACCCTTATACTTCCTATTCAAGTAAAATAGTGCAAGTATTCCACATCATTAGACATTGCAATAACCCTATACTCCATATTCAAGTTAAATGCAGTAAACCTTTCACAATGGCAAAGTACCTTTAAGATCTTGCACTTGATTGTACAACTTGCGGTTTTCCTCCAAAACTTTCTGGTATCCTGACGCTGCATGAGCTAAGCCTTGTAGATGTTTACCTGATGAGAAAAAATATAAGATGATAATACTGGTCTTTATCTCAATATGCATGTGTGTGTGTGTGTGACAGAAAGAGAGAGAGAGAGAGAGAGAGAGAGAGAGAGAGAGAGAGAGAGAGAGAGAGAGAGAGATTGTGTGTGTGTAATCTTTACCTAGAGTATTGATTTCATCATGATATTTTACTTGTAGACAATGTAACTCTTTTTTTGTATCATCAATGGTATATTTCAGGTCCTGGACAGTAAACAAATTTAAAATCAGTATGACTCTTGATTTTTGCTTATATTAAAAAAAAGTGAAATCATATGTGTGTATTCCAGAGCTGAGTAAAATGCCTGTATATTTTGTTGTTGTTGCTTAATCAGCATGTGCTGCTTCTCATCCTGCCTTTTTGATATGATGTTATTAACTTCTCTAAGGTGAAAAGTTTCTTCAACAACTGATGTGGAGGTCTCTTTATCTTCAATCTTAGAAAGTAAAACAATGGTGATGATGATGATAAAATACCAAAAAAGCTTCCATATAAAATATCATTACAGGATGGTTAACCATTGCCTCTGTGTGAGGAAATTCCAGGGGACAAAAGGCTGGAGCTGATACATATTGAGATGCAGCAATGGGCATATCTTGAGAGGTTGAAACAGGTAAGTGTTGTGAAGTTGTTTCTATCTGTTATTATGTGAAAGTTGAAAGCCAATTAGCATGAAGCTCTTTAGTGTGTCACTATAAGCTACATTGCATTAGGGCTGAGGCTAAGAACTTTTTTCTTCTTCAAAATTATGGGATGCATACTAGAAATATTACATTGGTTTTCAATAAAATAGCTTTAAAGCTTGTAGGGACTCTACTGGCAATACGGTTGCTGCAAATTTCAACTAAAAGATTTTGTTCCTGTTTTGGTTCCCTCGAAAAAAAGATACACAAACATGCAAAAGCTTTTCTAATACTCTCTTTTGGTTCCTCTAATTGTTAACATCAATGGCAAAAAATACAGGCCACTGATAGTCCACTTCATGTTTACAATTATCGTGTCACTGCTAGCACTGCGAATACCTTGATAGAAACAATAATAATCCTTCAGTTTCAAAGAAAGAAATCTTGCTTGTAATACATATTTTAGTATAAGAAACATGACTCCTTTTTTGGAACTAAGGTAGTCTTTGGAAATAATTTATAGTGCAGGTATTTAACATATGATCATAACTCATACGGTTAGTTATGGTTATTTTTTCAGTTATACAAACTTATGTACAGGCTGTCCATCTTTCAGACACTCAATCTAAATTAAACAGAGCTAATGAATAATGATCAACAGCAGTGGCCAACTTCTAACAACTGAAGGATCTAAGGAAAGCACTTCAATAGTGAAGGAGTAATTTAGTAGAAGTGGGAACCAAAAGGGGAGCACAACATATCTGAAAAGAACAGCTACCATAGGTTATGAAATAATCTACCTTCATCTCTGTGGGAGGAACCTCAATAAGAGAATGAGGTGTAACATGAATATCTTGAGACACTGTTTTAATCTGTCATATCATGAAAAGTTGAAAGACATTACAGTATATGACTTCAATAATCCTTTAAGCTATTGAATAAAATGATTAATGATGCACTTTAAATGTTTATGACCTTTACTGGCAAATGCAATTTATTTAAACAAAAAGCTTGCCATAAATTATAAAATTACACACATTTAAAACTGTAGGTGAACACTCAAAAAAGAAACTGGAGCAGAAATATCTTGAGTAACAACCCCAGTATAATCACAAATCCTTTGGGGTCTGGGGCATAAATATGTACGCAACCTTACCCCTGTAAAAAACAGAGAGGCTGTTTATTTAGACACTTGATGCAGTCCTGTTTTTTCTACCCAAAAACTGCATAGAAGTAATAACAAATGAAATTTTAATTTTTGCCATTTAAAATTTGTCCATTATTTACCCAAAGCTAAAACATTGTCAATAATGACTCTTTTTGCTCCATTGGCAATGGATGGGAGCAATTTCCATCTATTGTACAATATGATAGAGAGACGATGTTTCCTCATAAAATTTGTAGAGCTGCAATATAAACTATGTAGATTGTACGCATATGTACCTCACATAATAACATAAGAATATTTGAGAAAGGTTTATTGGCAGATATGCTGGAAATGGCTAGCCTGTAGATGCTCTTTAAACTCTACCTGTTCATTCCAGCTGGATAAAAGATGCTCAAATTCTTCCATAACTTTACTTAGCAAATTGCCCACAACCTGTCAAAAAATATATTCCTCATAAAAACATGTAAACTACTCTTTTCTAACAGATTAAGGGATGGTCAATCCAGAAGCATGAGGACAAAAAAAACAGTGTGTGATCCTTAATATTTTGATTCTCCAGTTCATTTCCTATAAAAGAACAGTTAAGAATAAGTGCAAAGATCACTCACAAGTGGTATTTCTTCTGGTTTCTTATCAGCTAGAAGTTTGCTGACTAGTACATTCAAGGATCCCAATTGCTCCTACATGTTGTTGGATGGTGTTGGATGACTTTGTAGATAATACTATGATGTAGGGTAGAAAATTTAAATAAAAAAGCAAGCCTAGCTAACCGTCTCGCAATGATCATTCTCAAGGTAATTACTTTCAAGAGCCTTTTCAATGGCTGATGAGGTACGTGAAATGGAATTCATGAATGGCTCAGAATGCTTCAGAAGAAATTGCTTCCCACATGATGTAGGTTTCACATTTCCGCTTAGTTTCCAGGACCCAATTCCACCTTCTTGTTTCCACTCGCTATATGATTTCAACGCGAGAACACAGTTCACAACTCTATATGGTTTTCCTCCCTGAGCCAAAGAAGAACATTATTATGACATATTAACAAGCCATACCATTATCATTTGACTTAAATATGGCACATCATAAACTGAAGAGTAATTCATAATCCTGATCCCAAGGATTTGGTACCAAGACCACAATAAATACCTACCTGTTCCAAATCGGATGCTTCAAACGTCGGTAGCCCCATTTGCTCCACCACATCCAAAAAGTTTCGTACATTTTCGAAGTATTGGTATGCAGAAAGCGCTGCCCCATCAGCGACGGTAGCAGAATCTGGTGGAGCTTCAATGACCTAAAGGGCAATATTGAATGGAAATTAACCAACATCATATTCATATACCCATAGATATAAGATCAAAAGTATATCAAGAACAGTAAAACCTTACCTTCTGCACAGAGCCCGGCTGAACTTTATTAAGGGCATTGCAAAGTATAATCCCACTTCGCAACCCATGTCTGAAATCTTCTTCTGAAGGTTCAGCTGGTAAATCTTTACCAGCGACCACTCCTACAATCTTCCTTAACCACCTAGCTGCTTCATTTCTTCTCAATGCTGCATCACACCATTAAACTTGTAAATCTTATCAACCCAAAAACACAATTTATACATTTTTCCCCTCCACACAACCACCAAACACACACAACGAAACAACAGTCCTTTAAACAATATGAGTATATAATGCTCCCATAATGTTTACTATATGACGTTGGGTATTAATATTTTTAGCCTACAGGTTGAAGAATCTAGAAGGAAAAATTTTATTAAATTCCAAAAAAAACCATGATTGAAACAATGAACCAAGGAAAGATTGAAATAGGGATGACATTAGTAATCTGGGGCAAAAAACAACTCGATCAAAAGAAATGATCATACACGCTTCTTCAGCTTTTCTGGCAGCATACAAATCAACGTTTCCCAACTTACTCCCGTGCTGTTCGATCACCTCCTCCACCACGGAAGCCGCCAATAACTGATTAGCCTCCGCCAACATTGCGCGGGAAAATGTACAAGAACGGCCAATGACGTTCCAGAAATCCTTTTTGAATAGAAAAGAAAACGAAGATTAAATCCGACAGCTCATCCGTCAACGTCAAGCTTCTAAACTCATTACAGAGCAAAAATATCTGTGCCGGAAAACGTGAAGAGTTTCTATATACAAATGTACAGGGGAAGGAACTGTAGGGTTTCCAGGCAGGATTGGAAGAGGTCCGGGAGAGGAAAAAACTGAATGTGAAAATTGTAGGAGGAAGAAGGTGGGGGGTGGGCGAGGCTTTTTCTAAATAAATTGTCAAAAGAAAAAAAAATCATTCCGCCATGTCCATGCTCTCATTCTGTTTCCTGCTTTCCAACGCTCTTTCCTGGCCGAAAGATTCGGGCATCGGTTCAAAATTTCGCCATGTCCATGCTCTCATTTATTAATTTGTAAAATTGATTTTTAACTCCCATTCAATTATCTTATAAAATAAATAGAAAATAATTTGAGTCAAACATCATAAAATGAGACGGAAGAATTATAAAGGCCTTGTATTCAAATTTGTGATTGTTTGTTGGCTGTTAGTTGTTTGTATTAACGGATTTAAATAGCACATTAAGTTAACTATTTTGACTGACTCATTGCATTAGCTATTCATATATTTAGCATACTTAGCTTTTTTTAAAAATATATGTGGTAGATGAAATTTTATTTAAGAACTAACTTTTATGTATATGATATATACAATATGTTATAACTTATATATTATAAATTGAAATTTATATAATATAATATGCTCCGTGATATAATACGGAGTACAATTCATGTACATCATATTTATTTAATTTTAAGTTAAAGTTTTTCATTTTCGTGCTTCCACTTGTTTATTATCTATCAGAAGGTCAGATGAACTCACATATTGAATTTAATTCATGTTGAAAGATCCGCTGCTATGGTGAAATTGGTAGACACGCTGCTCTTAGGAGGCAGTGCTCGCGCATCTCGGTTCAAGTCCGAGTAACGGCATATCTTGTTAAAATATGAGGAATTCAAACCAAAATAGCACTCTTAGAGCATTAAAATACTCTAAATAGCAGTGCTATCTGTTTCGTACATGTGATTCCAATTTTGCCCTTTAATTAAACAGTAAATGTTCATAACGCACTGCCAAAAAATATGATTGTTTTGAGTAGTGTGGTTGTTCACTTGTAACTATGTAGTGGCAGTGTAGTTTTTTATATGTCAGTATTTAATGTGGCAGTGTAGAATGAATATATGTTGTTATGTCTTACGGCAGTGTGTAAGTGTATTATTGTGTTCCTTAATTTCATGTTGGAGTGCAATGTCCATTGACTTATGTATCAGTGTTTTCATGTATAAATTCTTCACCTTCAAAAAGTGTATAGTTCTATTTATGTATGAATTTCACATTATTTTCATGTATGAATTCCACACTATCAAAAATGTGTATGATTGTTTTCATGTATGAATTCCACACTGCCCAAAAATATATGACTGATTTCATGAATAATCAACTACACCAAAAGACACTGACCAAAAATGGGCTTGGCTTTTTTTGGTTTTTCTTGATTTTGTATAATGTTAGAAGATGTTAGTATTAGACATATGTTGAATTTCATTTATGTGGTACTGGAAAGAAATAGATAATGGAATGTATTATGTTGTAAAGTTTAAGACTTTGTAAGCAGCATACACTGCAACATTATGTAGAATTGTGCAACATAGCATACCGGCCAAAACATAGGACATAACACTCTGCTAAAAAGTATACCTAGATCACAAGCATTCCACACTGCTTTGTTTATTAAAGTTATTCAAGCACTAGCCGTTTTGGTGATTTTTTGTATCCACTTCCAATGGAAACTCAATGAATAATTTATTACATTGGGATTTTTAGATATAAATCCCATTTGACCAAAACACACTAGGCAAACATGGTCATAGGACATTTTCAAAAAGTGTAGCTAGAAGTTGATTATTCCACACTGTCAAAAAATAATAGCCCCATATTCAGTAACACATTTCCATAACGAGCTCTTGAATGTTCAAACCCACTAGTCATAGAACGAAGCGCATGGCTTTTGCACAATATGAAACTTAATTCATAATTCATAATATTGGTAGTTTTATATGTATGTCTAATTTCACTATCATATTTTTAATAGAACTTAATGAAGTACATACAAATTTGTTTAGGCCGCGAACTTTTATACACTGCCATATTTGCACTCTTGTCTGCCACATTATATGTAAAAGACAAATTCACTGCCAGAAAGTTTTTGCAGAACATGATCAATCTGTACTGCCCAAATATTTACAGCCACCATACTGAGTAACACATTTTATAACAATCTCTTTCATGGTAAAACTCCATTGTCATAAAATCAACCACAAGCTGTTTACACAAAATGAAAGTCAAATAATAATTTATAACATTGGTAGTTTTATATGTAAGTCCCATTGTCAACACTTGTTTATATAATTTTTTATGTAGTTTTTTAATACTCCCTCCGTCCCCATAAGATCTTCTCGTTTTGATTTTTTGCGGTTTTTAAGGAGAGTTGAAAAAAGGTGAAAGTTTACCAAAATACCCTTAATGAAAATGGGTGGGGTGTATTAAATAAGGTGGAAAAGGTGTAATAAATAAAGTAAGTGGGGGTAGTTGTGGTATTTTAAATGTTAAAAAATGTAATGAGAAGATCTATTTGGGACAAATAAAAAGGGTTAATGGGAAGATCTATGGGGGACGGAGGGAGTATATAATTCTTATTTTTTAATTATACACAAATATTTACTTATATTGATTTGAAAATAACTTCAATCAAACATCGCAAATCGAATAAGAGGCCTATTTTGGGATGAAGGAAGTATTTATAATTGGCATATTTTTATGATATAATTTTGATATATCATATTTTTATTATATATATTTATTCAAAACTACATTTAATTGATTGAAGAAAGAATTTGATAAAAAAGGGTACTATGCCACTATGCACAAAGTATACATTATGTGAGTCCGAATTTGATTTAGGAGTTGAAAGAGGAATTGAAACAACTGATAGTGGGATAGAAAAAAGGGATTGACAACATAAAGGGTATTATTGGAAGAGAATGACAACATAAATAGCTAATTTGGTAAAAAACAATAAGCAGTGCTAAATGCGTAGTATTGGATGAGTTAGAGTGATACGTAGGGTGATTTCTTCATTTATTTATTCATATATATTTACTCCCTTCATCACCAAATAAAATTCTAAGATATTATTTTAAAGTCGATAATTTTTGTTTACTTGTATATTTTAAAAGACAGTTTTGCTTTTCAAAAAGGAAGAACGTTTGCCCTCTATTTTGATGCATTACACTATTCAACAAATTATATTTATTAAAACATTTATTCAATATGTAAGTTTTTTTATTTATGTACTAATATTTGAATAAAATAGTTAAAACAACATTATTTTACCTCGTAAATCCCCCGTGAATTTTATTTAAGGAATGAGAATATTAAATATATTATATATAATCTTCTCTCTGTTCGCAAACTCACTCGTGATAATGACTGCACTGTTGAATTTGATGCTCATGGTTTCTCTGTGAAGGATCGTCAGACGGGGACCGTGATGCATCGGTCCAATAATGCAGGTCCTCTCTACCCAGTTGACCATCCAGCCTCTGCTCAAGCTCACGTCTCGTCCGTAGATCATCAAACCTGGCATCGTCGTCTCGGCCATCCAAGTCCTGCGGTCCTGCGTGGTGTCCCTTCTATTTTTCCTTTATTTAAAAACTATCATCAAACTCTTTGTCATGCGTGTCAATTGGGAAAGCATGTGCGCCTCCCATTTTATTCTTCGAGTCGAGTCTCTTATTTTCCTTTTCAACTTTTGCATACAGACTTATGGCAATCACCTATGCCAAGTGTTACTGGTTTTAAATTTTATATGTTGCTGTTAGATGATTTTTCTCATTATTTGTGGGTGTTTCCTTTAAGACATAAAAGTGATGCTTTTACTCACCTAAATTCCTTTGTGGCATATGTGAAAAATCATTTTAATACAACAATAAAATCAGTTCAATGTGACAATGGAACTGAATACAGAAACTCACCTCTTAAAAATATTTTTGACTCTTTGGGTATTCTTTTCCATTTTTCTTGTCCCCATACTAGTCAACAAAACGGACGCGCCGAACGTACCATTCGCACTATTAATAAAACCGTCTGTTCGCTCCTCTTCCATGCTCAACTTCCCCCTGAATTCTTGGTGGAAGCCCTCTATATGGCCGCCCACCTCTTCAACATTCTTTCCACTACTGTGTTAAACAACCGCACTCCTCACTCTGTTCTCTACAACTCTCCCCCACACTACTCTCATCTTCGCGTTTTCGGTTGCCTTTGCTACCCGAATATCTCCGCCACTACCCCACACAAACTTGCACCACGCTCCTCTCGTTGCGTTTTCCTCGGCTACCCCTCGAATCAACATGGCCATCGATGTCTTGACCTTCAAACGAACAAAATCATTATCTCTCGCCACGTTGTCTTCGATGAGCACACTTTTCCATACGCCCACCCCCTCACCCCTCCCGATCTTCAATTTCTGGACACCACCGATGATGGACCCAACCCCCTA